CTGTGAAACACTGAATGAAATGTTTAAAAATGTTACAATAATTGCATCTCCTTTTCATTGAATCACAAAAGCAAACATCAGTTAAATTAAATCTTTTGAGTCGACCTATTATTAGGGATTATCCCATATATAGGCCTTAATTTAGTGTTTAGTGCAGTAAATATCGAGAGATGACAAACAGAGAGATATTTTATAGCATTTAAGCAGATTTAGTTCAATAAGAGGTACGTATAGTCAATACTATTTGCTTCATAAGGTTTGGATTGCATTGAACGCCTGTAAAGACACTTCACATCATATATAAGCCCAGCTTTTATTGAAAGATAAGGACATCAAAAAATAGATACTTTTTATATATGAAATGATTGTGTCGGCGATTGGAGTGAAAAGAGAAACTCTTTTAGAAATTTTTTGATGATTTGTGTCAGGAGTTAGTGAAGCGTTAATTCACAAAAGGATCGATTACTCCCTCTAAATGTCAAAAGAAAGATCTGCTAACAAGTGAACACAAACGCCAACATTCCTCACAACATACAACTTATACCACGTTGAGAGAGAGAGAGAGAGAGGTGGTATTGATGTCACATATTCTCACATACGGTATGTAAATAAGAGCGGTTCAGTTGAGGCACGTGTTATGCGCGTTGTGTTTGGCTCAGGTTCTCAGTGCCCCCTCTGAGCCAAACACGTGGCGGTCTATGGACTAAGTCCTATGGATTAGATTGCTTTATAGTCGCTCTTATATTCACTACTCTTAGAGTCGAAAACATAGAGTTCTCATCAGGAGATTGATTGACCCGAAAGTACGGTATGGCTAGAGTATGGCTAGAGATACAACAATTTGATACGCGTTTGGCTTTGGCTGCAAACAAATTATGTATGGCTGCAGATGTATAGTATGTATGCACTCATTATTATCAATGAGATGAACATCCCATTCACTTAACCGTAATCTGATGTGACTCTCGATTCTCGTCGTCATATTCAACAAACGATATTCAATGCAATCGTTAGTTGTATTATATAATACTTATTGTAGTCATCGTCAGTATTAGCTATAAAACCGCATCAAAACATTACCCAAACGAGAGCTACAAAAGTGCTTTTGTGTGAATCAAATGAGTCCCAACTCAACACAACTCTCATTCATATCAATGATATCTGTCTCTATCGGTACTTTAATACAGTACTCCTCTTCGCAGTCATATTAGTTGTTAACTTTGCTTTTGGGTCAAAACCCATTACAACCCTCTCTTCCCAACACTGGGAGAAACTATACACACAATCAATGTAACAGTTAATGCAAACCTATTCACAAGCAGTGAAATGCTATTAATTTTGTTTTCATGTTTTTGTATGCGAAACACAAATTTAGCCGAAAGCGGCATTTGATCGCATATTCTTGTCATTTCGCTCCCAAAAGCATACATTGATTAGCATTAAGTGAACGCAAGTGAGAAAAAGCCTCACATTATATAAGAGTTTATGAAAAGAGAGTGAAAAAGAAAGACTTAACGGTATATGAAAAGCGAAATACAAAATGTAAAGCGAGACTAATATGCAGATGAGCTGCAGGTGTATCGCAAGGGATAGCACACAGAGTTTTGTTGTGACACAAAAAATCTCGACAATGAGTGCAGCGATTATAAAGTTCCTGTTCTCAGAGTGTTTTGCATCCATTTGTCATTTGGATATAGATTTTTGTTGGTGTTGTTGTGTATTATAAGCCGTGCCGTGAAATATACAACAATGACTTAAAGTCTACTCAATTGACAAAACACAGGGCATCGAAGTGCTCGTCAATACAATGCCAACTGTCCTCTCCCGACAACTCCCCCGCATTTTATATACACTATTATATTATAAGCTATCTTTCATTTGAGACAATATTAAAGAAACGTTTGGACGACACGACAATTTGAGAGCCATTTTGCCAATTCTTGTGCCGACAATAGAAAGGGCAGAACTAACTCAATGTCCGAAAAGTTTTATTCAATTCATACCAAAAATGTAATAAATTATGGGATTTTATTCGAGTCTCCCTTTCGGTGAATATCATAATAAAAGAAATGCTTACAATCGGAGTGAATATTGATATGACATCAAAGCAAACAACAATCAAATACTTTTTCACTCAATTCTAAACATAAAAATATGAAATGATTTTTTCAAACATAAAACGCCAATTTCTTCAGCAAATTCTCAACGATATTCTTCATAAAAAATTATGAAAATTCACTGAAACTATCAATATATTAGACAACATTTGGTTACTATTCAGACATTATATTCGCAAGCAGTCTATGGATTAAATTCAGAAAAAAATACATTATGTTTTAGATGAGAAAAATAGTTTCTAGATAATGATCGGCCACTTTATGCCATACATTGGTATTAATCCATTTGAATATTGAAAGGCTAGGGATGACACACAGCTTGTGTGTGTATATGTTGTTTGTAAGTGAACTGATGGGGCATTTTCAGCACAAGGTGTTTACAGTTGACGTTTGTATCGGATTTGCATCACAACTATTGTGTAAACGGAATGAATAAACAAATTGTTAACTATAAGAGGCAAAGGCTGAACACCAATGCAAATGAAAACCCGTTGCCGTTTGAGTGCGCGGGCGGTATATATATGAGGATTGAGAGATGAATTGGGCGTGAAGTTAAAGGATCAACACATTCGCCAACAGATCCATTGCTCATTCATAGCTCTCTCGTTGGGCTCAATGTCTGCTAACCATTGAATACAAAAGAAACCCAACTCTAACTCTCAACTCCAAACTGGGCCACACTTTTTTGTATGCCTTTCCCAGACATTGGAAACACAAACAATAATTTATAAACAACTTTTAGACACTTTTACTCAATTTATTTGTCAATAAATTTTGACAATTCTTGCCAATCGATCAAATGGTGATATTGTATGAGAAAAAACTTATAGAAATAAATGGATTTTGGAAATTTTATACTTTTGACCACATTTTGCATCCAAACAAATATGTCATCTCTTTGGCGGTTATAATAAACATTTTGATTACAGAAAAACTCCAATTATTATAGAAAATATATGTAAACAAAAAGAAAAATAGAAATAAATTATTAAAACGGATGGAAGAGTTTAGATGAGAGCCAGAAAAGTAGTTTCCTGTTAGTGACCGGTTATGCCTTGACTTTACTTTAATGACACCGGAAGTGAGGAAATATGAAATGATTGAATTGTCTAATGTTTTTGAGATCCAGAATTTATATATAACTATATATACAGATAACTCAGACTTTGAATTGAAATGTTATGAAAGAGAGAATAGCGTTACGTAAGAATGCAATCACTTATGAAGAGAGCAATGAATGGAAATTGTAATTACAATTACAGAGCAATTGGCAAATGAAAGTGAAAATCAAAGTTCAAACAAATGCCTTTTTGAAGCAATCATTTTCGCTTTAGCTCTCATTTCTATCATTTTCGCTATTAATTTATTTTCCCCGCTTTCGGCGCTCACAACACATCCACGCAATCAATTGTGTGGCAGAGAATCCACAATACAGTACAACAACCGTCTCTCTCTCTCTCTCTCTCTCCTGTATTTATCAATGTTTGCCAATTTCAACAAAATTTTCAATTAAGACTTATATATTCCCTGTAATGCTATAAAATAACAACACATTCACTCGTCAATCGTTTTATGAGCTCTTTATTACCCCTTAAAAGACAATAAATATTCATTAAGAATGAGTCCGTAATAAATAAATGGCTATAATTCTGCATTGAATGCTAATTATTACTGAAAATAACAATTACAAATCAAAACACAAATAAAATTTTAATTCATAAAAATTTCAATGAATTACTTTCTTTAGAAAACTACATTTATTACTGTATTATTGTATTGAAAACGTTATTATTTTAATAATAAAAAGACCAGTGATTTTAGTGAATTATTTTAAAATATTATTGGTAAAAATAGTTTATATTCTTATTAAATAATTATAAATAATTAAGAGTTAATATGAACTAAAATTATAATAATTAAAAGACAGACATTGTATTTAATTCAAATCATATTTCAGTGTTTGAATATATGTGCGACTCTTTAGTGTTAGATCTATGACTGACTCCGCAAAGGAAGGAAAACGGAAAAAGTCGGGATTTCCTTCGGTCTCTCTCTCTCTCTCTCTCTCTCTCTCTCTCTCTAAACTCTAATAGAAATAACAAATACTACACAAATAGAGAGTTACCATTGAGAGAGAGAGAGAGAGAGAGAGAGAGAGAGAGAGAGAGAGTCTTGTCACATAAAAAGACCTTTTCGTCTATAGTAATAGTGACCCCAAAAAGTATAGATCGCATCAAATGTACAAAAAGTCTCTCGCATTAGACGCGTGACCAACGAATTCATTTGAGCGCAAAAAACATTATTTTCTTTCAAAACATAAAAAGTACACAATTTTAGACTTTTTGTGTGTTATTTTCACAATTCAATAGCACTGGGCTCTAACCAGTGCTCAACAGTACAGTACTGTTCATATAATGTGTTCAGTCATACAAATATCGATCTTTTCAATGCTAAATACACGATAGTATTGAGTACTATGTCCTGTATTGGGATACAAGAGGAATGGCACCATCTATTAGATCCACAATCATATTGTATAACGACTTCAATACTATGGCACAAAACGGTTAACAAAGGAATACATGCATCCAATCGTTATCATTGTATGAATTTTGTAAAATTTAAAACTTTCATAAAGTTTAATAATAAACAAAAACTTATCAAATATAAAGTAAATTTAGAGTTATTCTCAACAAAATATATTTCAAATAAACAAATAATATTTCATCTGAACTAATATTATGGTATTGATTGTCACGTTTAATGTCAAGAGAATTCCCACCAGAACTCTGGTGACAAACTTTGTATATAAATTTCTTGATTGTTGTGTAGAATAGAGTATTTAACGAATGTAAATGTAATACACATTAAATAACATGTATATTACGAGCACTGAAATGAAGTGCATTTTGGCAGTGAATGTACGTATGGATAGTACGGGCCGTTTGGGTCAATGCATAGCAGTGTTAGTAATGTCTTAATTGACACCATATTGTTAGACACGCGACAGAACAGAGCCCACAACGAGAGTCAATTGAAGCCAATATCGCATAACCTTTTTCTTCCCATGAAGTTTATATTCATATCTATTGGGCTGTAAATCATTGATTCATATTTGAAATGGTGACAAAACGACCCAAATGTTTTCATTTGTATATGATTTTTATACGGGCAGTGATTGAGTCCAATTGACACACCAGCCTCTCTCTCTCTCTCTCTCTCTCTCTCTCTCAATGGTAACTCTCTATTTGTGTAGTATTTGTTATTTCTATTAGAGTTACACTAACTTTATATTCATAATAATTGAATACATTCTACGCTCACTTCACATATAAAAAAGAGATATATATTTTTGACACTCTTTTGACGCGTGAGAACCAAATGCTTTTGAATAGAGTTTAAAGAAAACATTTACCAAAAAACACTGACAGCTCTGTTATAAACTCTCACTTCGTTTTTGAGTACTTCATTCATACCAAAAAGTATTTCTCATTTAAATTGCATTTATATTATGCGTTACTTTACATTCATTTCATATTCAAATAACTTACCATTCTTTGAAAGTCTAAAATTCTGGGTAGAGTTTCCAGTGTTATGTATAATGTTTTGAGAATATGCCTTATTTTGATCTAAGAATGAATTTGAAAATATTATTGAAAATTCTTGTTAATATTGTTTGAGATCATATATGAAGATGTCTCACATGAAGAGGTAAGTGTAGTCAATGTACCGATCGATTGGTTTTGTTTCTCTTGTTTGCATAAGTTTATGGAAGCTATCGTTTCAATTGAGAAATATATGTTTTATATTATTATTTTATGTTTCAATAATTAATTGTGTATTAAGCAAATCAATTCGTGTCTCACATTGTCTTAGTGTCTGAAACTGTGCGAAAACGAGTTCTCCATTATTAGAATCGGTAACCTTTTTAAAGTCTTCGCGAGTCATACGACACAAGTCTTTGCCAACAAAATGATTGAATCGATTGATGTCTATGTCGTGGAGTGAATAGTCTTTGATCGTCCATTCGAGCCATTGTCTCACTTGTTCCCAATTCCAATAGATTGGGTCTAATTCTAGTAAAACAATTGATTTGATTGTTTAAGCGATTGGCTCTCTATTATCATAAGTAGGAGTAGAGCTAAAATGTTAATGTCTTTCAATGAGTGGAATCGACTGAAAAAATACATAACATATATCTCTTCTATCATTGCTATCGATCGACGCATGACTTATATTATGGACTCATACTCTCAGCAACTCTTATATATTCTCTTCTTTTACCTCAAACTAAACCTATAAAACAAGTCCCAAAAAATGCCATTGTTTTTATATACCAACAAAGTATTGTGCAAATCATATCAATCCATGCCATCGTTATTATCGCTAATATTTATATTTAATTATTTTATTAAAAATAAATAAATAATTAATTAAAACATGAGCTCTAATTAAGGCATAAAAATTGTTGTTAAACTTATGATCAGTTTTTAGGCGATAAATGAGTTAAGAGGAAACGTATGACTTTCCGAGAAGGAAAACAATTGGTAATACCCGACATCACTTCCCGACACTTGACATCCGTTTGTCGCCAAATCTGATTCACATCTGATCCCAACTAATACTATTAATAAATATTGCAAACCATATGTATTGGAAACTAATTTTCAACACTTATTCCATATATAATTTTATTTACAAATACTAAACACAATTTCATCACTCAATTTGATTGTTAATTAAATCACAATTTCCTAAATCACTTTTTTCTTAGTAATGGTTATATATTTTCAATTTATATAATATAAGAATTAAAAGTAAATTTAAATGAATGTTAATAATAGAGAGGCATTTCTATACCTGACAGAAAAAGACGCTTTTCTTCTGTGTTATTGATAACAGATTCTTGCAGTGAATTCACACGAATAGCATTGAGTCCATCGTCTCGTAAAGAATTCAGTTTCGATGAATGACTTCCGACTAAATGAACAAAAATATTTATTTATAAAATATAAGAATTGGTTAAAAACTTGCAATTATTAAAAAATTTTCTATTTAATGACATTAAAAAAAATTACACAACTTGTAATTTGTATTTTACTAATTATACGGAAACGTTAAAGTTATTACAATTATTAAACATATGTTTCAAAACACATCTAATTAGTGGAAATTTAATACTAATATTTTGTTCATAATATTAAGCTAAACTATATATTTAAAATGTTTTAAATAATAAAATCAATTATGAATTAGAGTTAATATTTTATTTATAATAACCTTAAACTAAATTACTGTTTGAATGATAGCCGAGTTTATTGTTGTAAGAGAAACTTGCTTTCACTTGTTATGTGTTTGAAATTAGAAATTGATAAAATGATATTCATGTTTAGTATTAATTAATGTTGCTTAATTGAATATGTAATTAAATACTCGGACAATGATTTGAATTTCAATAATATAAATTAGAATATCATATAAATTAAACATTAAAAATACTCAATATACTCGTCAAGTATATAGTGAAGTGAAAATATGGTCAATTAAAATATATACATACAATTGTCGACAATGTTGTAATGTTGACTATTTTGCTGTGCATTTGTTGTAAAAGCGCTTCCATTGCAGAGGAACTGATCCCTCAAAGCAATTAAATTTGTTTCGTTTTCCTGATTCTTGGACGACTCAATGTCTGGTTCTAAGCATTTGTCTTCGCTGTAGACATAACGGCGCGCGTCGGCAGAGATGTTGCACTTATAGATGCAAGCGTTGGGCCAATTGTTGCCGGCGGACAGTTGTTGGCCGGCGTTCACAGCGGAACCATTACAGCCGTCGCCATTGCTGTTGTCTTCGGCACTACTGACGCTGTTTTCCTCTACTTTGACCTGAATTGAGATGCGAGGCGTCGACCGACTGGTTTGTCCGTGAGTCGAGATGGAAGCCGTGGCTGAGGCCAGTATACTATTGGTTTGGTTACAAACATTGGTCTTATGGTGGACCAGATCGCTCTCGAAGTCACTCAAATTGTTTGGCAAAACTTGTGTGACATTTGTTGCATTATTTGCATTATTGCTGTTATTATTAATATTATTGGAAAACATCTTCATTTGAGAATTTCTTGAACCAAAAAGTGATTTCCAAAAAACACAACTAAATAATAGAAATGAATAAATGTTTTATAGGAAAATGAAATATAAATAAAATAAATATAAATATGGTTTTAATATAATAGAGTAGTTACTAGAGAGTGGAGGCGAACGGATGTATATAATAGCAAAATGAACACAAATTTGTATAATTTGTTTGTAAGTTATAATTGGCTAACAGTGGAAAACGCGTCAACACATCACATACAACATCATGTATATTGTTATATAACTGAATGAAAACAATTTAATTACATTACATACGATATTACATCATATGAGTTGATGTCTATATGTTGTGCATAACAAATGCCACACTAATTGGTGTCTGTTATCAATGCATTGATAGCTCATGTTTTGACTGCATTTCAATCGACTTGACTTTTTCGCAGCCGTAAAAAGCAAAACCATAAATGTATTAAATTTTTTCCCATGAGGTCCAGACTCTCAGGCAATGAATAAATTAAATGTTACGCTAAATAACTGGTCGTCAATAGTTTAGTTCACCTCTAAATGCAGTTATAATGGGCTCACTCTCTGCGCTCGGCATGCATTCAAACTGAGTTACGGCATGTGTTTAGGCATTGCTTTCACTCTCAAATCATTTTTCTCTTCTTTTCTACTCTACTCTTCCCTATCGAGCGTTCATTTAATACAATATATAATATTAATCTATTTTCATATCCCATCAAAACGCTCACGAAATATAGTCAATACGTTCTGTCATATTATAAGTATTGAGAGTTGAATATATTGTGATGTTTGATGTTGTGGAGCATCATATCTAATGAGTTGCATACATGTACTACTGGTGCCCAACAATCTACCACTGCTTATGTATTAGTGTATGCATTGATGTTCGACAACAAAAATGAATGCAAAATAAGCATTTCTGGCCGACCAGTGATGTACTGGTTATGCCAATAAGGAGTGTGTCGTTCACTCGCACTCATTGTAATCGGAAATTGAGTCACCGGACGGCATGTGAGCCACCATCAACTCTCTCTCTCTCTCTCTCTCTCTCTTTCTTTCTTTCTTCTGTCTATCATTCATTCATATTATTGTTATTTTATGTTACTCTCTCTCTCTCTCTCTCTCTCTCTCTCACCCTCTCTCTCTCTCTCTCTCTCTCTCTCTCTCTCGTGTCTATGCGATGAAAAGAGTGTACGCGCGGAGACTTTAGGCCGCATTTTTATGTTCAGTTAGCCATAAGGACACGTGTCGACACACTTTGATGAGCGCATCTCCACTGCTATACCAGTGCTGTACTGAACGGTGCGGACTCTCTGTTCCCAGGGTTCGCCCAATTTCACTGTTTGAATGCTTTCCATAATTAGTCTAAAGTCAATGAATACAGTGAACACTCTCTTTACGACTGTCATCGTTATCGACAGTTTAAATGAACCATTATTTTCTATATACCAAACCCCATAAGCCTTTTATTATTTTCAATCAATACTTTCCATTTAATTCACTGTTCATTTGGTTTATCATTTAAGACATCCGATGCATACAATCGTAATCATTATGTTTTCAAAACAAAGCCCAGACTTTTGACTGCGAATTGTTGGCAACACTTTTCCACTCAAATATCAATCCTATCCGCTATCAGTTACTGGCATTCCCTCACATATACTATCAAATAGTTTTGCGATATTTTTATATTAATTATTTAAATTTTCTTATTCGCCAACAATTCTACAATATTTGTTAAAATAGTTGTCAAAAGATAGACATAAATGTTAACAATTTGAAAACTAACTACTCTTTAACCGGAAAGCTCTTTGACTGCAATACAGTTAAGCAGTAATGTTGTGCTTACAGTACAAGCGATCATAAAGTAAGGGCAATGCAATGCAAATATCCAAACATTTGATGAGCGGCTAAATGATTATTGTAATCGTTTGGTTATTTACCACTTGTTAATAACCTGTCATTTAAATTATGCTTATAAATATCTTAATCCTTGTTTTCATTAATATTACACAAAACAATAAATATTTAACAAATTTAATTTGTTTTGGATTTTACACATTTTTCTTTTAACAAACTTAACAAACATAACAAAATTATTATGACTACACATTGTTAAGGTTATACACTATTTTGATTTACTATTTTGTTTTGATTTAAACAATATAAATAAACTTTTAAACTTTGGGATTTATTACCATTGAATAAAATAATATTTATATTTAATTAGACTCTAATTTTATACCAAAAACCTTATAATAGTAATAATATTTTTTAAAATAAAAAGTATCAAAATCTTTAAAATATTTGAAATTATTTAAATGCTTTCTGGAAGACTTTAGACATGATATTTGCAACAAATCATTATAATTGCAATTAAATTTCAAAAATAAAAATATTGTGTTCAATAAACAAATTGAATAATAAATACAATTATATATTAAAATTCAAAATAATAATGTGTTTATAAGTGCATAAAGATTAGAGATAAGGTTAAGTAATTTACTTAAATATATCCGTTTCGTAACTTTAAATATAGGAAATTCACACTCGATTTTATTGAATAAACAGTTATTATAATAAGTGAATTGCAATATAATATTCAGTAACAAATGGGGAAACAGAGGCTTCCTTCCCAATGCCTTGTAGGCCGTCTTCCTTGTCTTCCTTGTCTTCCTTCTTCCTAACGGATCATCACTAGGAAGACAAGGGAAGGGTAGAGGAGGAAGGAAAGTACGATTGCTATACCATAGGTATGTGATTATCGGTCAACAAATTACTTATTTTTGCAAAACTATATACAATGCATACAAACTTTGAACATATTATATGAAAACATTTTATTGTCGTTCTATTCATTTACCATAACCTCTCTATTTCTCTCTATTTCTCTCTCTCTCTCTCTCTCTCTTTCTTTCTTTCTTTCTTCTGTCTATCATTCATTCATATTATTGTTATTTTATGTTTATTTTTGGATAAAATTTCACTTTTAGATTACCACTCAAACATTTTATATCTTATTGATATAAATATTGTATAATTACACTAATTTATAATATTTAAACAAAATTAGTGAACACTTACCGAATGTTATCCTTCTTATAAATTGAAAAGAAATACAGAAGACTTGTCACTCATTTCTGGAGAAAATCCGTCAAGAATTTGATGTCCGTTTTGTATTTCACTTTTGCTTATCTTTCGGATAAAAACTTTTTAGTGGTATGTATTATAAATATGTATAAATATATGGCAGATAAGTCGGTGTTGTTGTCAGAATCACACCGTAATCATCATCAAAGAGTTTGCTATAATGACAACAACGGCATAAACTGGCGAATAGCCCGCCCTTCGGCTGCCCTTAAGGTCTTATTCAATCAATTACGAGACCCGCCCATCAATTGCACTCTAAGGCTATGTCTGTACTCCATTTGCTCTCTCTCTCTCTCTCTCTCTCTCTATATGTGTTTCACTGTTAAAGACAGCCATTTCTGCCAATAGCTGTGATATAAACTTTCTTTCAAAG